TGAAAACTTTATCACTTTGAATCTAATTTGTATTTTTGTGGGCCACCATCATTCATCATCCGAGACAGCCCCGGCAATTTTCTCACACTTTAAATTGACACATCACAGCGAGAAAATGAGCCCGAAAAATGCCTGATAAATTATATCCTGATGACTAGACATAAGTACTGCTCGAGACGATATTCGGCTAGCCGGGCCAAATAATGACCAAAGTGGAAGTCGACTTGGCTGGACCTGGACTTGGGATCTGTTAGAGTAAATGGAAACCAATCGGTCATTGTCAAGGCTTGACTTGCACGCACGCACATTTCATCAATTAATTACACAAGTAGAGGAGAAGTACAACCAATGAGAGTGCACAAAATATGTATGAGAGTGTATGGCAAAATATGAATATGTCTGTTTATTTGCGGCTCGCTGTGTTTGCCTGCTCGTTTGTTTGTTTGTATGTGGCAACGTCATCAAAGTAATCATCCTGCTCGACTCTGACGAGCGACTGTCAGTTAAAGTGAGAGACGAGTCCAAATGATTGCCTCCATGACGTGGCAGCTCTCTCTCTCGCTCCCCCCCACCGTCCGCCGCCAGCCTGCGCCCCCGACCAACATCAGCGACATCATTTATCATCAACCTGGCTGTCAGTCAAGTCGCTGGCTACAGAAAAAATATTACCACCAGCTCCGCCTCCTCCCTCGGCGCAGCCAGGACCAAGGACTGCGCACTCTGATGACTTGCCTGCTGCAGTGTGTTATCCTTGGCTGTGCTGTCAAAAAATTATTATGCCTATTAATTTTACCCATGCGGGTCTCGTCTGCCCCTTTACGAGTGTGTGTGTATGTGTGAGTGTGTGTGTGCGTGTGTTGGTGGTAAATTACACAACAAAAAATTATGTTTGGCTTTTGCCAGCGCCAAATGGGCGTGCCCAGGCTGCCTACCTTCCCCATGCCCCTCCCGCGCTGGCTCGCTCGCTCCCCCAATCGCTCGCTCACTCGCTTAAGACTTATTTCGCCTCATTCATTTGGCAGTAATTTATCCTGTCATGCTGTCATTATGACAAACAAAAAAGACGAAGAGGAAGCGAGGAAAAAAGAAATAAATAATCGCTTGAAGCTGGCAGGGGGAAGGAGGGAGGAAAAATTATTTATTGAAAATGATTATGCAAGGGGCACCCAGTTGGTGGGTGGCTGGGTGGCTGGATGTTTTGCTAATGATTCGATGACGCCTTGGACTTGACACATCGATCAAAAATCATTATGACTTATTTCTGCTGTGTGGGGGTGCACTGAGCGAAAAGCTCGAGAGAGAAACTGCCGAGGCAGCTCTGCAGCCGAACTGCTCTCTGTGCTCAGGCTCGCCTACAAGTGTCGAGTCCCCTTACAGGGTATCTCGCTGCTTCAGCTGCCTTGTTTTCAATAACTAATCAATCTTGAGTTTGACTTGATGTCTGCGCTGCACGCGATGACTTATTTCGGGTAGTGTTTTTTCGTGCAGCCAGGCAGAGAAGGAGAGAGAGAGAGAGAGAGAGAGAGAGAGAAAGAGAGGAAGAGCAAAAGTTTTTCACAACTCGCTGTGTAATCGACAACAGTAAAGCAAGTGCCAACTTTTTTGCTGGCGCACATCAATCAGCCCGGGGTGGAAACGTAAGCTCACGTCACTCAACCAGACAGTCCTTCAAATGGATAGATGGATGGATGGATGGATGGCTGCAGAGACAGTGAGTGAGAGAGAGGAAGAGTGAGGGAGAAGGGGAGGCCTGAACTTTTGGCGTTGACAGCCGGAATACAAAATGCGGGCGAAATATGTCGATACGAATCAAGCGAAAGTTCGACTCTTTTTGCGACTGCGGCAAATAATGAATGGAATGAATGAATTGGAATGGAATGGATTGCATTGGAATGGCTGGGAAAATATGAAAAATGTGAGGACGAAAGCCATCCTCCGGCCACGCACTGAGCGAGCACTGAACTGAACTATAAATGCCAGACAATAAATAACCGCAACTTAAGCATATTGCGGCTAGGAGTTGCCCATCTAACCCTCTAGCCCTGTGGCCCCCTGGCCCTCTGGTCCTCTGGCCCTCTCTGGCTGCACTCACTCTGTGCACTCGCCGCGGCAGCTACTCTCTGTCAGCCATATTTCATTTTCATGCTCCCAATTGTTTTGCTTTTGACAAATGAGCGGGCTAGAGACCCGAAGAACGCTCCAGAGAGACAGCAAGAGAGTGAGAGAGAGAGAGAGAAAGGGGAGAGAGAGACGCTCTGAACTGAGCGAGTGTGTACAAGGCAAGTCATCAAAATAACAAATAACGACGACTACCAAAATTGATTGCATGTCATTAATTTTCATTTCAAATTACGCTTCCACTATGTCTTGGCTGAGCTCGGGGCGGGGCGCAGTTTGAGTCTGCGTCCGAGTCTGGGTGTGTGTTTGACTGCTCGTCCTGTCTGGTCTTGGCTTTGGCTTTAGCCTCCAGCTGAAATGCCAGTCAAGCAGTCAATGGGCCACAGTCAAAGTCGTGCCAAAGTCAGGCCACTGGTCAAATGTGTTGAGCGACTGCAAAATGCCAGTAAACTAGAAACTGAAGACTTTTTATGGAAATTGCCAAATGAGTTTACTAAATGCGCTTTGGAGCTGTAAGCATTAAGCTGCAATAAGGGAACTGAGTGAAAAATATTATATAGATTAATAATAAACAAAAAAAAGTAAAATAAAATTTAAAAAAATAAAACAGCTGCAACAATACGTAGTATTCAAAAAATAATAATAATAATAAACAATAGCTAATAGTTAATAAAGTTAAAAAAAAGCTTCAACAATTAAACTGATTAAAGAAAAACTATTTAACAAATAATTGAGATTAAATTATTAAAAAATACGTCAACGATTGAGCTAAATAAAATTATAAATAATAACAATTAAAGAAATATAATAATTAAATTAATATTAAATTAAATTAAAGAAATAATATTTAAAAAAAATTCAAAATTTGGAACAGTTTCATTGAATATACAGAAAAAATAAATAAAATAAAGAAAAGATCTGCAACAATTTCACTGAATAAAAAATAAAATAAGGAGCATAATATTATTTAATAATAATAATAATAATAATAATAATAATAATAATAATAATAATATATAATAATAATAAAGTATTTACAAAATTACTAAACGAATTTAATTAAATAAATAATAAAGTTGAAAAAGAAACATAAATAAATAGAATGAAATAGATGTAAATAAAATAAATAAAAAGCTGCAACATTTAAATTGAATTAAAGAAATAAAATATTTACAAATAAAAAAATTAATAGATAACAAATATCGAGTAAATCCCTATGGAATCCTTATTTTTATTTCCCAATATTAGCTCTTATTAGACTTCTACTACAATTTCATTTACTTTTATATTGAGAAGTCCTAATGTCACAGTATACACGATAATATACGTCTCTCCTTTAGCCTTTTGCTCAGCTCACATTTCACCCGAATCTCAATCGCATGCAGCTAATCTAACTCATTTGTGTAAAATTCCCACGTGCCTGTTTCAATCGAAATTGGTAGCTCGGAATTCAGCTGACCGATTTGTAAATTATGAGCAAAGACGTCAGCTGACAACTGCATTTGCAACCAACTGCAACAAAGTCAACGGACAGGGCAGGACAGGACAGGAGGGGGCATGGCCGAGGTGCAGCTGCAAATGGATGTGGTTCTACTCAAAGCTGTCCGCTGTTGAACGAGCTGCAGCAAGAGCAAGAGCCAGGCCAGAGTCGTAGCAGGAGTCGGTGCTCAGGAGTCGGAGCTCAGTCAGCAGTCAGCAGTCAGGAGTTGCGAGCTGCAGCTCGAGTCAGAGAACAGCAGCTAACTGACATTTGACTGTCAGATGCTGTTGGCTCTCATTCGTTAATGTCAGAAGCAAGAGTTAATCTCGCGTGCATTTCAAAACATCAGAGCGACAGCAGAGTGAAGGGGCAAAGAAGAGAGGGAGAGAGAGAGAGGAAGAGGGAGCTGGCGCTGCCACGGCTAGGTACGCACTGCCCAGGAGGATATATTGTAATCAAGGTTTTGTTGGTTTTGTTTCAGAGTGCGCCCTGGCAAACGAGAACGAGAAACGAGAAAGAGCAACAGCAACAGCCACTGACTGACTGGCAACCAGCAACAGCAACAGCAACATCAGGAGCAACGTTAACTGATGGATGCCTGAAAGCCAGCCTGCAAAATGAATGAATGACATGGCAGGCATGTGCGACCGGGTGGTTTTGACGCCCACTCCAGCTCCAACTCGAACTCTGGCTCGGACTGCAGCTCGGACTTGTAGCTCGGAGAGCTCGGCGAGCGACTCCACGCACGCAATATGTTCAATGATGAGCAAACACACACACAGATAGAGTGGAGGGCAGCCGCGTGATAAGTTGCCTGGCCACTCACTGCACAGGCATTCAAGCAGGCAACGCACTGGCCAGCTGGCCAAGGGAGGCCATCCCAGAGCAGAGCTGAGCCGAGTCTGTCAGCTGCATTTGCATATGGCTCGCATTCTGTGGGCCACGGCATGCAAAATTGCTTTATGAATTATAAACAATGCCCCGGACTGGAGCGCACCGGACGCGACTGGGTTGGACCGGGACCGTGCCGGAGCGAGGCTTGTTAGTTGCTTGTCCGCTTCATTGCCACAGCCAGAGCGCATATTTGTGCTTGGAGACAGTCACCAAGTCCAGCTACAGCTCCTACATATATATGTGTGTGTTTCGCTCTCTCTCTCTCTCTCTCTCTCTCTCGCTCTCTGTCTATGTCTATCTTTCTGTGGGGCTCTCAGTGCACTGACAGTGATTATGTCGCCAAGTGACATCCATCAGCAGCTGTGTAATTTATTACCCAGCGCCTGGACAAGATTGCGCCCAGTTTATGTACGTGGCAAATGTGGCTAACGTGTCTCTCTGTGTTTGCGTCACAGCAGAGCAGAGCAGAAGAGCAGGGCAGGAGCTTAATTACAGGTGGCTATCGAGGAATCACTGCAGCTGCTTTGACGAAAGCTTAATGCGCTCAACGCAAGAGCTTAATTAACCGATTTAAAATCGAGTGCACGCACGCACATACATAAATGTATCTATATATATAATACATACATGTGACATTTAAATGTTTGTTAACTAAAGTAATTAAGATTAATCAGGGAAATGTGCGTAAACTGTCAATATTGATGCAAGCAATTATTGAAAGCTAAATATTGCTGCG